TGGAATCACGCTGTTAGTGAGTGGTGGATTTTCCTTTTTATAGAAGCTTTCAAAGTACCTCGCGAAAGGTCTCAGCTTTATCAGAGTCGGAAGTGCATATTATCCCATCAGGAGAAAAGATGGTGTCAATAGGTGGGAAATCTTTCATCCTAGCATTGTAGGGGTTCCAGAACCTCTTGGTATTCCTGGAAGAAGCAATGCGTCCTTCATGCTTAAGTTGAGCTTAGCCAGTTTTTTCTTGAGCAGGCGGGACATGTACACATAGCGTGGGTTACATAAATAGTTTCCACTTTTGTATAATTGTTGGACTCGACTGTGCAAAACTTCCGGATAAGAGGAATCCTCTAAATCCCACTAGATTTGCGAGTGAACGGAACAAACTCTAATATAAGGGAATGGCAAAAATCAACAAAACGAAGTAGCACTTCGTCGATCGTTTCAAGAGTATCGAAAATGTGCTGCCAATTGACCGAAAGAAGACGTCGGCATATCGCCGAGTAGTCACCCTTCGCGAAATCAAGGCTGGGTTTTTGGACCTTTTCAAAATTACTCCCGGATAAAGAGAAGGACACCATAGCGTGATCAGATGTAGAGAAGGGAGCTTTGACAGAGAAGTTATCAATAAGAGGAGGGCAATTCGTAAGAAGAATATTCAAAATATTGCGACCACGAGTAGGTTCAGGTACTATTTGCTGAAGGTTGTGAGACAGAACAAAACCCATGAAAAGGGAGCTGTGCCTACTGAGGCCTCTTTCTCACAGATCCTGTTGTAGTTGAACCCACGGGATATCGCAGAATTTGAAATCTCCCATGATAATTGGGGGCAAACGATTTTCACACAATCCCTGTAAGTATTCAAGGTTTAGAAGGTCTTCGATGAGACAAGGCGGACTTAGGTAAAATAGCGCAAAGATGCAATCAAGGCTTGAGAGTGATAGGCGTATGACAAGACATTGGATGTAAATAGAGAAGTTAAGCGAAGAAATAAGTGACGAGGGAGTATTAAAGGAAAAGGATAAAGCATTTGCCGTTGATCAATCCCTTTTTGGGATGCGGCACGCATTCTACTTCCATTTGTACATTCGTAGTGGCGTTTGAATGCGATGTGGCCTATACAATGACTTGCGGGGGCCAGCCGATGTACAAGTCAGTGTTTTTATCCTCCCAGACAAGTCTGGTACCAATTAACCGACCCCGGAGGGATGGAAGGCTTGGTTGGCCCGGGCGACTCACGACACTTGTCACTACACCACTTCCGCCCACGAGGGAGTATTGGTTCTGATTAATGCTGCCACGCCACCGCCAGGGGTATCGCTGTCCCTATCACAACGATAAACCTGGTATTGGGTAACCGACAGACAAAGTGCTATCGTTGATCCTTTGAGATTTACACCACGTCTCAGTCACAAACAGACCAGAAGGTTTTCGAGATAACAAAAAATATAGCTCAGGAAGTTTGTTACTTAGCAATCGAGCGTTAAAAAGATGGAAACGATTCAGAAACTGCCGGCTAGATCGGATGTCGTTCTGGACTGCCTGACTGAGGCGTCTTGCCCTATGGAGTTAAAGCAGAATGGGAGGAAGCGGGTGGCGAGGGTATCCATGGATTCTGTTGATGATTTGGAGGAAATCGGCGAACCTCGGAATGAAATGGAAGAGCGTGGTTCCGGTAGTTCCCCTGCATTCCTTAGTTTGCAAATCCTAGGTCGCGAACCACAAATTGATGTTTCGTCATAATCGCGGCGTTGTGCTGCAGTACTGCTCGGCGTATAAGGAGTAGCCCTCTACTCTGGAGAAAACCCAATCATTAAACCAAACAGTTTAGTGCAACAAAACAATAATAAAAAACACTTGTGCGTAACGAAAAAACTTCATGCGTACTACTGGACTATAATTGGCGATTTCAATCTTTAATGCATACCATTGCGATCCTTCTCTTTTCAATGGCTTCCTTGATCCGTCTTCGGATACGTTCACCACAGAGGGCTGAATGATGTCCGTAGTTGTTACAATGGAAACATCGCAGTTTTTCCCTCTTACACGCGAAACAGACAAATTGGTCCGCGAAACATATCATCAGACTAGTTTTACAGCGTCCTCTTGCTTCGACAATCCTCTGGCGGTCATTTGAGTTTGGTCGAAGGTACATGACATGCTTCTTTCAGTCTCTCTTTGAATCTTGTTCATAAATCGGCTCCATATCTAGTTCCTAAAAATTTTTTTGCATCTCTCCAACTTTTCGCTTTGCTTCTTTCAATTCGTCCCATATTCTTTTTTTCCCATAGCTTATTCTGCGTGGACATCGACACTCGATCCCACTCATCTCCGGTGATATTCTGTATTCTTTCCATGTACTCAGCATTTTTCCCTATTATGTCGCTTCTTCTACATCTTATCATCTTCATCTCTTAACGGCAGTTTACTCTCGCAACTATTCTCGTTGAGAATTGATTGTTGTTCATGTAGGATTTCTTCGGGCTTTGATAGCGGTTCCGATCGTCTCATGCTTCGTAAGTATCGGGTTATCCTCCCCATCGGATGTTCGTTGTGAACACATTGTTGATTGATGGTTGATTGCCATTTGCCCGTTGTTGAGCTCGCACAACTCACATGCAATGAAGAAGAGCGACCAAGAAAGGTTTCTGTCCATCTTCGTCATGATAACGCTCGACCTCACGTTGCAAGATCACGCGGTCTAGACTGCTACAGGAACTCGGCTGGGATACCGTCCCCTGACCACGCCCCTTCTGACTGTTCTCTTTGTAAACAAGTTCCTGGCCAACACAAAATTAGCCATTTTTGGTGACCTCAAAAATGCTCTCTGGGAGAAGGGAATAGCTGACTTGCCTGTTCGCTGGAACAATATCATAGATAATGATGGTGATTATATAGTTTATTGAGTTAGAGTTTGAATAAAATTGTAAAAGACTTTTAAAACACACATACGAGTGCCTCAAGACCTTTGCACCAACCTAATGTATTAGTTACCTTTGTGCCTGTACGACACTTTTGTCTGTGGCCGCATTTTGCGGCGTTTGTGTAATATTTTCGCAAGCTCGGCGCAATTTCTCTATTTTTTGCGTAAGAGGTTGGCTGCAAATTCGTAACTGTCCCCAGTGATCGAAGTGCGATCAGCTTTCGCTAATCAAGTTACGCACTCAACTACTAACTATGCGCGCTCAATAAGTAGTTGAGTTTTAGTAACTTGATTGGCGAGTTTTGTGGGTCAACGTTAAAGAATATAACTTTCAGAAGGAACCGTATCTCCCAATCAAATGTGGGTACAGGAATAGTGGAAATTTTGAAATTTTCATTTCGTGTCCCACATCAAGTCTGCGCTCATTTCGTGCACATTTCGCTCTCTCGCCGTGATTCGAGTATGCTGAAGCGTTTCGCTTCCATTTAAGTAGCTGAGATCTCTGCGCGATCTGTCTGGCTGCGTTTTTTTATATATTACGAAAATACCCCTCCTGTTCATCTTCAAGTGGTCCAATCAGCATTTCAACAGTGCTAATGAATGTGAGGTGCTCACTGAGTAATTTGGTTGTAGCTTTAGCTCCTGAGAAGGGATGGCACGTTCAAGCTCATCACCACCTGAACCTAGCGAAAGATTTCGAAAGAAAATCTACCTCTCGCATTGTGCAAAGGTCACTTAGGTCATTGCAATGTCTCGTCAATCGGCTTCTTTGCATTCTTAAGCTTAGAGATCCTGCCATGGCAAGTTACTAACGACAGCGTGTCCACTAAACTTATGCGCTATTAACTGAAGGCGTACCTTTCTTTCTTCTCTTGAGCCGGCAACAAATGTAATGGATGGTTCGGTGTCGGAAGGCAGTTGAGCCGTTGCCAATATTTATTTCGAGCTCACCTTCCAAGATGGTCATATAAAGTAGAACTCACCATATGCACTCATATATCATGCTAATCACCGTACTTTCTTTGACGACTAACGGGTTATGACCAGTGAATCACGTTATAACTTGTTTTGACCAGCAATTCTTATGACTTGTTTTGACAGTTGATAATTACAAATTGAGCTGCAATAAATCAACAACACATAAACATTATCATAAAGAAATTAACAGAAGTGAACGAATTGAAAAAATAACCAGCTGCATAGAGAAGAGAAGATGTGGTCAAATAAAAATATGGAAAAACTGTATATAAAGCCCTAAGAGTGGTGCTCATGCATATTTTTCTTTGGCTGAGCTGTGCTGCTAGCTAAAAAGTACTTCTTGCTAACTTCAGCAAACTCAGCGATCTCCGCACAGTGAAGGATTCTGTCTAAGAGGACGTTACCCTAGTTGGAAAAGATTTCAGCTTTCGGTCTTAGTAGTGGACAGGAGAAGGGTAAAGAAAGCGTGCATAGCACGGCATCTTCTCTATGATGATACTGAATGCTTTCAAAATATCGAATTCCTTCTGTTGCACTGGAGCAACTCAAGGTCAAGCACTTCACTTCGTGCGACCCCTTTGGTACAGCGTTATAACTAAAACCTAGGGCTCGAATCAATACCTTCCCAGTAAAAAAATATTAAATGACATCCGATCTCGAGATAAACTTGTTGGTCTGCGGATAGAAAATAGTTTCCCACACCCCGAGGCGAATGAAGGATTTGTAAGCCTTAATAAGGAGGCACGGGTCTTTGGTATGTGAACTCCCAAGCAGTTGGAAAAGCCTGGATTCCGCTTTGCTGGCTATGTACCTAGAGTGGGAATGAAAGCATAGTTTTCCATCAACTATAAAGCCCAGATCTAATTTCACCAACCTTGAGCTCATCGCCACCCATATGGTAAGTGCAGCTGGGCTAGCCTTTCCCTGAAAACGGCACCAATGTCTTCTCGGACGCTGATGGTAGTTCCCACATCTCGGATCAGCATAGGGCGGCACTGACGGCCTTCTACATAAACGCAGAATCTTTTCTGTTGTCAGTGGCGTGAACATTTTCACATCATCAGCAACACTTCTAGATTCGACGCTTATTTCCTCCATTTATTTTTTACGGGAGTTCGTAGGTCTAAATAAAAACAAGTAAGTAATAAGTCGCTCCCTTGCGGAACCTCAATATGAGATGACCTGATCCTGGAAAAATGTTCCTAACTCGAACTCGAAGCGAACGGCACCGCAGAAAGAATTGAATCCACGAGACAATCCTTAGATGTATGCCAATATGGTTCAACTCAATAGAAAGTCGGTATGATTTACTTTTTAGGAGGTCTCGGCATGTAATCGAAATAGATCACGTCTACATTTTCTCGTTTTGCATTTTCTCTCTAACGAGATGGTCCAATCATTTAGGGCTTCGAGCATACCTGATATTGATTTGAAGAGGGGAACCGTCATTATCACTTCATTATATAAACCAGAACTTTGGTGTGTCGGTTTGTCGGTGTGTGTGTCGTTCTGTCCGTCCGGACCAACCGCTCACAAAACCAGGGAGTACGAAGGGCAACACTTCGTGATGTTGATGTCATGATCATGATAAACCCACAGCGGCTATATAAACACCGATCGAGCACACTCAGTCTCATTCTACATGGTGCTGCCGTGGCAGCCGGATGAGCGGGGGGAGGGGTAGAGGGAAGGGGGCAAGAAAGGGGAGGCTGGAAGGGAGGGAAGGGGAGAGGAGAAAGGGAGGAGAACATGGTGCTGCCATGCGCCGGAGAGAAGGGGTATAAGGAGGTATAACACATTCAATAGTGAGGTGGTTAATGGAGTACGTCATGCTGCTATTCCGTGGTTCCTCCCTACCCTGTGATGCGCGCGATAGCGGGCGGAGCAAACCTGGTAATTTAAATGAAGTAAATGGTAACCAAAATCATGTAAGAGTTGAGAAGCAGTCATATTGCAATTTTGGGCCAAGTTCGCTCTGGAGTAAATAATTTCTTCAAGCATAATGCAGGATTTGGAGAAATTGAACCATGAAGATCTTTCTTACCCTGTGACTCAGATAAATTCCGCCTTATAAGAAAACCAGTTTAGCTCCACACGCAACCGCGCGCATGAAAGGCTTCGGTGAAACTGTACAGTCGGTGGAGCGTCAGGTTCCACCGGTAGGAAATAAGTTGCTTCGTGAAATGCGTTAGCTCACTGTCCGCTTGATACGCGCGATAGAGCACGGAGCTAAAGTGATGTCTGTAAACAACAACCATGCATCGAATGTCAGAATAATTTGGCGGTCGTTAATGCAAATGATGTTGAAGTGAAATACCCAGTACCGATTATCATGTTTCTTCAAACATCCACCGTACATTTTTAGAAAGTCGGGGAGTGTAGCGGCCGAAAGGTTATTTGGAATAAGGACGACAGCGCAAATGAAATGATACTGAAATGAGTTGCGTTATCTCAAATCTGCTTTCGAGTGACCTTCAAGCTCTTACGCTATCGTTGTTATCAGTCCTTATCATTCGTTACTCTTTCTGACCCCACCAAATATGTTCCCGTCCCACCCTCTACATCACTTATCAAAACCAACGCCTCTCTGCTGCTGGGACACCCACAGTAAATTTCGTGAAATTTGCGTTCTAGCGCCTCTTATCAGCTCTTATCAGTCGTTATCACTTTCTGACCCCCACCAAATATGTTCCCGTCCCACCCCCTATATCATATCAAAAATCAGCTCCTGACGACTGCTGCGACGCGCGCTATGAATTTCGTGACAGACAGACGGACACACACACACACAGACAGACATACTTAGCGAATTATATATAGTAGGAATCTTAGACTTCTAGGTCCATGTTGGCAATCCGGTAGTATCCTGTGCTTATCTAAATTGGTCGACGATAACCCTCTTCATCACTTTTCCAAAAACTCTACAAAAAAACTGAAGTAATACTGACAGGTCTATAATTGCCCGGATTGTCACGTGAAGGCTTCTTGGAGATGGGTCTGATAAAAGAGATTTAACATCTTTGAAAACTTCCCATCTTTGAAAACTTCCCCTATGCAAGCCCAAGTTGAAAACATTTTTTAAATGGAACAACAATCGAAGGAAGTACTGCCTCAGAGGCAAGCCCCAAGATTAGCCTGACTCGTAGGGAAGATACCGTTTAGAAAATTGTGGGGTCAATATCTACACAGTCCATGCCAGGTTCGTTGCACAAATTGCGCGATCAGGGATCATCAATCCTTACGAGCCTGCAACCATCGACCTCGTTGCAACGCTCCCCACCCACCGCGATTGATGTAGAGATCAGCGTGCTCTCTCGCGTGTTTTGTCTTCTTTGATCGCCCTGTCTCGCCATCGTACCACATCCGACCTTACAGAAGGTTAGGCCTTAATTTGGCGTTTGCTATGATTTCTCTTGTAATCCTTTCCACTTTCGGTGCAGTCCGCAGGTCTGTCATCTTGACGCAGCGCTCTTATTTACCACTTTAATTCCAGGGCTTTCCTTGATTTTTGATGAACCCTAACGCTATCCTATCCGGGGTGAAAAAAACTAGATTTAGAATCAGATAAAGAGAAAAAATTTTCTGCTCATTGAACCACTTAGTCTGCATTCGAGGGAAGCAGCCAATCAAATCAACACTGATATTCGCCTAGTCTTTAATGGAGGTGTAGATACTTTCGAAAAATATCCCACCTTATCAAAGTCAGAAACATGTTTGTCGCTTCGGAAATTCTCCTTCAAGAACGAAGTGCAATTCGAAACGAAAATCGAATAAACTGTACCTTGAAGGGACGAATTCGTCCTGGTTTTCTATGACTTTCTTCTCAATCAAACTGCAGTATTGATATATTTTGCTTTCAAACCGTCGTTCTAAAATTTTCTAAAAATTTCAATTGAGTTGTTTGATAGAACCGCTTTCTTCTACGCTAAAATTGTTCTCAGAGAGGGAGTGAAGAAACGACAGTCCTTACGGTAGCCTTACCAACCCTTATTCGAGAAGCTAGGGATTTCTCGTTGCAAAGTGTAGGTCCAAAATCTCACCAACTCAGGTTCCAGTAGATACAAACTGATGGAACCCATTAGTTTTCATCACATCTAGAAAAATTGAATAAACACCTCCATATTGGTAATCAGTATTCGAACAATTGATAGCCGGGAAATCGAAGTCCCGGGTGCAAGCAGGCAAACATTTGTGCCAACACAGAGGTCGCTTATACAACTGCGAGCTAGTACGCCACAACGGTGGTCGAACGTGAAGACCGCTACACCTCCACTCTCATTCCGTTCCCGGTCACATATAAATACTTCACAGTTGGAAGCTAAGTCACCAATCAGAGAAGAAATTTGAGTACTGCTTTTTCAACCGTGTCTCGGAAAGTGCAATTATCACACATTCAGATCCGGATAGTGAAAATATTAGAGAATTTCTTTTACTAGTGACCGGCTACTAGTCAAAAGACATGTTGTCCTGGACTACAACGAGAAATGAGGAAAACAGATATCCGTATTTGGATGGTTGCTACGAAAACGCGGTGTCGCCTTTCTCCTAGTTTCTGTAATTTCTGTAGTTTCTGTAATTCTCAGCGAAGTCACTAAGAGAACAAGGAACAGATAACAGAAAGATAAGGTAAGGGACAGATAATCGTGATAAACATCAACATTGCGAGAATGTCGGCTCTCCCGTCTCATCCTTCCTTACAGTAAGTAATTCGTTGAGGAACCCACTTCTTCCCGGAAAGGTGCTGAGGCGACGAGTCCTCTTAGCAGCAATCCGTTGATACAAAAAACACGGAAGAACGACCTTGATTTTCTAATCTTGCCATGAAACCGTTTACCACGGTTACCGTCATGGATCTCAGGGGCACTACTTATGACAATTCGATCGCCTTCTCTCGATCTCTTTTTGAGGCGAGGCGTTAGCAGGCTTTCGCTACCAAGACGGTTTCAGTTCAGAAGTCCATTTTTTGACTCCTTGTTTTCTCTGCCTAAAAGATTTCAAGACAGCTCGCAAGGCGATTTTTTTTTCAATAATGGCACTCAGTTGGGTTGAATGGACAACAGCTATTTCTTGACACTGCCTCGAGACGTTGAATAGTTTGGCGATATCCAGGGAATCCGGCGTTACCACTCTTGGGCGCTTCCCGCTCTAATTAGGTGTGAAACTAGGGTGTTCAGTGCTTCTCGAGGCTAGAGATCAACCTCAAAACCAATAATGGCTTAACTGATCGTTTCGCGATGAATGAACGACCGATTCAAATCTTCACCTGACCTGGGCGCGAAAGGATTCCACACTTTCAGATTCCTGCGGCAAGGAGCTACGCAGAACCAAGAAATGGATTGAAGAGAGCAAACAAAAATATAATAGAAGCAGTGGCATTGCAATAACCGGAGTAGAACTGAGGTGGCTGACCATCGCTCAAAGAGTACGGCCGCATGCGAGCACTGCACACGCATGAATCGCAATGCTGCTTTATTCCAATCATTTGAACAATATCTGGATATGGGTTACTATTTGAATATCCGTTGTGAATGCCTGCTGGCAGAATCACCTCTTCTATAGAGTTTCTGTATGAATTGTCCAAGGGTTTTGAACAGCATGTATGTATGCATATTGATTTGGACTTCACGTACGAGACGATAAGGCTTTATTGGGCATTGAAGCGAACCGTCCAACAGTCATTCTCAAAGGCTTTTATACGGCAATCTCTCAAAATATAAAGAGGCGGTCTCTTCTATTAGCTTTCTATTTCGAGAAGCGTCAAAGAACGATGAAGCGTTATTGTGGTCCAATTCAGAATATGATGACAATGTGTAATATATTTTGCCTGGTTTCCGAGAAAATTGAGAAGTGACTAAGGTCATAAGGCAGTTATATGAAGCTGACTAATGTTCATAGAGAAGTGAAATTTCTGAGCAAATCAATATCTTCTGTAGAATTACAGAAACTCCCAAGGCAGACAATGTTAATGGTTCTTTTTGATCGCAAGGGAATTTTGAACACATATAAGAAATATCCGAAACAGGCACAGGATCATCAACAAAAAAATCAATAGAGGGGTGATCCATTTTAGAAAAGCGGTACTTAAAGAAAAATTGGCAATCGTTTCTGAAATGTCATTGATTACTCTGTCGAAAAACGACGTATCTCTTTCCACTTCTTTGACGGTTGCGTCTGCTTGTATGTCACTCTTGAGAAATCCATCGTCCACAAACTGGAGCGATCCTTTGACTTTCATGACTGTTGATCCTCCGGGGCAGGAAACGATGCATTCCGTGAGCACGGTTGGATTTGAGAAGTGGAATTTCAGTTTATTCAAGTGCCCAGTCTTCGTACAGTGTGCTATTTGTGTTTGCGTTGGACAAAGTATGTTGGCGGTTACTTGTCCGTGAGAGCTGCGGCACGACAATGTAAGTTCAGCACCAGCCATACAGTTGTAGCAGCCAGAGAGGTCGCTTGCTTCTATTTCACATGAGCTGTTAGACTGACGTGATGTGATCTTCAAATCTTCCGCGACGAGATGAAGTTGAATAGCGCTTCCGACGCTGGTTTTTGCGAATACGGCGTCGCCATGTGAGTATATTAAGAAGTTCTTGGATGTCTGTGGTAGAGGGTTTTCTTGCATAAGGTTTTCCATATTTCCTGAGCTGCAGACGCATGATGCCTTTTGAAGTCCTGTTGTACATGTGCATACTTTGCTGGCGAAGATGCATTCAAACAGACTGGCCGCTTTCTTGGTGGGACATTGTAATTGCCCTGCGCTGCGAAGCTCGAGTTTTCCTTTATGAGCTGGTTTCACGATCGCGATTCCGTCTTGTTTCCATAAACGTTGATGATAGAATCGGCAGTTGAGGAATAATGTTGCCTATGAGAGTGAAGCGAAGATTGTTCCATGATGTTGTTTGACCAGGAAGGAGTTGCAGAGTGTTGGCTATTTTGAGTTCTTCTTGAAGGATTTCGACTTCGATGTTGATGATGGTTTCCCAGCTCGGGCAACTGAAGACCGTATAGATAGTCGAACTTGTTGGTATTGCGTAAAGTCGATAAAACAGGCAGCTCGGTTGACAAAAGAAGCAGCCCTCGCAGAAGATGCATCCGCAACTGATAGTACAGAATGTGTAGCCTGGGCTACTGTTTGCAGTACTCGAAAATTCCTTGATCTTGTCCGTTGGTGAGGTATTATCACACGCGTCTTTGACACAACTACCAGCATTGTAACAGCGGTGAACGGATTCCGAGACTATTTTGTGGTCGCGGGTGAAAAATTCCACGTTTTTGTGGCATCTGAAGTTGATTCCTTTGATTTTGATGGAGATCACGCCCACAGCATTGTCCCTCTTATCCCTCAGTGTCAAGCACGTCGCCTGTTGAAGAGGTTGGAGAGTGAGGAGGGTAGCTTCGTTGAACGTACATGTCTCGGCGTTTCCGGTAGTGACACATTTTGCTTCATTTCCAGTTAGCGAAGAAACTTGTGAACATCCTTCGCTGTAGTGAAGGTGGATTATGATTGAGATGACGCACGTGAGAAATCTGCGGTTGTGGATCCGTCTCCTGCGATTAGTATATGTGCGAAGTTGAGTCCGGTGAGGCCGCGATCCTTCGTGGAATATTTTGGAGGGATTCAACATTGCTAGTATGGAGAGAAGTGGAGCAATCAGCACCAAGACTATCTTGCCGATGAAGCGAATTCCCGGTAGAATGAGGAAAATGATTAGGAAGGAAAGTGCAATTATTATCATCTGGGTGTTGGTCCAGCACTGTACGTTGTATATGTGTTCCCAGCAGAAGGTGCAACGTAACGTTTCGCATATCGGATGAGCTTTGCAGGAAACTGTAGACTCATCTGTGATCGTACCGTTGTTCCATGTCTTGATGGAGACTGAGTAATCATACATTATGAGTGAGTTCGGAAATAGTGTGTCCTTGGAAGAGATGCTGCGAGCAAAAACGCAGTATTGACTAACACATATCTCGGTAATATCGTTGTGGAAAAGGTTGTCAATTGAGACTCCTCCTTTGATACACTGCACTGAGATGAGAGGAGTGGTCAGGCCAAAGGCTGGCGTTACAATACTCCTTTTTACTGCGTTCAACGAACTTTCAATCCGCTCATCCTTCCTGAACTCATAGTACGCTTTGGTGATCGATCCCCACGCCTTTATTGGTATGGCTCCTTCATGTATAGAGGATGTGTCATCTATGACTAAGAGCGCGAGAGGGTTGTCGTACGTGCAGAACACTTGTGCGTTGTCTCGACAATCGTGGTTTTGGCAGAAACGAGACGTGCCGGTCGACCGTCTTGCTATGCGCCTCTTCCATCCTTTCCAATCTATGCACACATAGTCGTTTTTGTCGATGTAGTCCTTTATCGTGATGGTGAGTTTTTCCACGAGTAGTACGTTGTCATCGAAAAGTTGTATTTGATTGAAAACTCCCATCCTTTTCCCTGGATCGCATGAAGAATTGAAGTTGAATGAGCACACATATGCGGGTTTGTAATTCTTGATAGAAGTTGGCATGAGGTCTATTTGAGATGTTGTTGTCCTTGAGCTGCTCGAAAAGGAGCATGAATCTGTCCAATCTGGACATTTGCACTTCTTGCCGCATATCGGTGAAACCGTTGGTTTTGACGCATCGAATCGTATCTCGCCAAATGGGCAAATGATCGGAAACCAACAGAAAACGTTTTTGTTGTCGTGCTCGTACCGTGCTATCGCGATTCCTTTTGGAGTGCATTCGGTAGCAAAAAGTATGGTCTTATTTATGTTGATTTCTTCAGGGCAGCGAGTATGAGCTGATGATGTCCCTTGTATTGTCAGAATCATTAGGCACAGAAGGACCATATTGTTACACAGAAGGACGGCGTTGTTAAGAAGTCGTGCTTTTGATCTCGTGATCATTGGATGCAGTGTATTTCCTGATGAGGTGGCGGGTGGTGGATTAGGTGATGGAGAAGCAGGTGGCACTTCCAATTTGAAGACGAGATTGTGCGGACGAGTGATGATCCTTCTGTTTGGGAGTTTGATTTCCACAGATCTTCTGAAATTGTCTTGAGATCCTACGACCTTTCCCATTCTCCATTGTCCACGTTGAAGCAGAGGATCGTGCACTAATACGAAGTCTCCTTGACGAGGAGGTTCCTTTTCGTGAGAACGGGGTGTGGTATGCTCGGTTCGATATTGCTCGCGTAGGGCGGTTACGTACTCTTGCAACCAACGTTTCCAGAAGGATGTGACTAGTTCCGCCGTCCTTTTCCAGTCTGCTAGAAGGGTGTCGCGGGTTGTAAGAACTGGAGACCATTCATCGGTACGTTCCAATGGCTGAGGTCCACTAAGTCGTGCGTGAGGTCTCAGGAAGTCGATGGGTCTCAAGGGGTAATAGTTGATGTCGTCGGTGTAGTAGGTGAGTGGCCTTGTGTTGACGATAGCCTCCGTTTCTTTAGCGATGGTCTTGACGTCATCAATGTTCATTAAGCGGTTGCCAATTGCATGCTTGAATGATTTCTTGAATATGTCGATCATCTTTTCGTAGATTCCACCCTGCCAGGGGCTTAAGCTGGGGATGAATTTCATTCGTATCCTCCTGTTGATGCAGTAGTCGATCACGTCGTTCTCGATCTCCCGGTTAGGTAGTAAGGAGCAGCATTGGTCCACGGTTTTGAAGGATTGAGCGTTATCGCATATAATCCAAGTTGGACAGCCAACGGTTGCGATGAAGAGATTGGAGAACCGTAAGGGCGGACATGTCCGTTACAACATCAACGTATATGGCGCGACAATTGAGGCAAGTTAGAAGGATCATCCAGAATTTGTCAGCTACGTTGTCGGCGTTCCTGTATTGAAGAGGGCCAAAAAAGTCCATACCCGTGTTCTCGAATGGATAAGTAGGTGGTTTGACTCTTCTTTGTGGATGAGCAGGAAACGGTGGAAGCGAATATGGTTTGGCAGAGTACCTCTTGCAGTGGAAACAGTATTCGTGCAGTATCCTTTTTATTGTTGCTCGTCCCTTGGGAATCCATACGGACTGTCGAGTGAGTGTGAGGGTATGGTTAATCCCACAATGATTATTACGTTGGTGAACGCTCAGGACAAAGAGGGCCGTAATACGGCTCTTCTGCGGGAGGAAGATTGGAGTTATTGTTTCTTGTGGGAGTTCGGAGTAATCTATACGTCCCCTGCATTTCCAAAGAAGAGAAGTATCACACATGAAAAGGTTGAGGCTCCTTTTATGCTCGTTAGAAGGTGGATGTTGAGATTGAGCAACCCGAAATAGAATAGTTTCCGCTTTCCACAGTAGGGCTACTTTATTACTCCCAAAGTGGTGGGAAGCCCGTTTCGATTTTATGACGAAAAAGCGCAAAATATAGAAAATTGTGTTAACTAGCCTCATCCAAGAGCTGAATCGTTCGACGTCCAACGGAAAGGAGGCAGGCATATCACGGAAGTCCGTTGTTGACTGGGTCGCTGATGTGACGAGCGCTGAGGATGTTGTACCGGCTTCGCCGGAGTGCGATTCCTTTTCTTCGTAACTTGTGGTCGATGGCGTTTTTGAGGTCTTCAAGTTATCACTTGGCCAAAGGTCTTCCTTTTGCTCGAGAAATTCCGGTCCGCTCCACCGGCGTGAAGAGTCCAGTAATTCTTGTGTGGTTGCTCCACGAGTTCCGATGTCAGCTGGGTTCAGATGTCCGGGAATGTGTCGGACGATCACATCCGATGTATTGTCTTGAATGATTTTGACCCGATTGCGAACAAAAATTGGCAATTCTTTGTTGCCTTTGATCCATCTTAGGGTGACATCGCTGTCAGTCCAAAGGAATTTGCGAGTGATGGTGATGTCCAGTTGCTCTGCAAGATATGTCGTTAATTTTGCACCGATCATCAAGGCTGCGAGTTCAAGTCGAGGTATGGTTATCGCTTTGTTGAGAGGAGCCAATCTAGATTTTGACATGAGGAAGAGAGCAGTTGGAGGAGCGTTTTTCCTTCGATGAACTACGTATGCTGTCGCACAGTATGCCGTTGATGATGCGTCGGTGAAGACATGTAAGTCATACAAAGAGTCGGAGTTGTCGTTCACGTCTGTCAGTAGGCGCGGTAAAGTGAATGACGAAATTGTCCATGACGAAAGGAGACGGCACCATTGGTCATTTTGTTCTTCAGGTAGTGGATCGTCCCAGGATAGTTCGATTCTCCACAGCGATTGAAGAAAAAGCTTTCCTCTGAGTGTGATTGGAGATATCAAGCCAAGAGGGTCGTAGATGCTAGCGATGTGTTTCAGCACCTTACGCTTCGTCCATACTACATGCGGAGGAGGTTCTTCTGGAAGCTGAATAGTAATCGTATCGTTGGAAGTGTCCCATTGGAGACCCAGCAACTTTTGGTGTTCAAGAGAGGCGGTCTGTTCCTTTTCTTCGAAGAACTTATTGAGTTCAGCAGAGTTGCTCACGTAAGCTCGTAGATTCATTCCTGCTGATTGGAATAATTCTTTGGATTCTTTGTAGAAAGATTTTCCCTCACGGGTGCAGCGGACTCCATGGAATACGTTATCGACGTACGTATTTCGAAGAGCTTGCTGTGAAATCGGAGTCGCAGTAGTTGCCAGATGGTGGTGTATTGTGCCCGCAAGTAGGAAGGGAGAACTCACAAGTCCAAACGGCACTCTCGTGAATCTGTAGGCGATTAAGTTGTCGTGAGTAACAGGTCCTTTGGGATTGATGAGCCATAAAAACCGTGTGAAGTCTCTAGATGCGTTGTCGAGTCCGACCATAAGGAAGGCCTTTTCGATGTCACTCGATATTAGAATCTTGTAGAATCTACAACGGAGCAGGATGCCGGTTAGATTTGGTAGAAGAACGGGTCCGCGGTATAGGCACTCATTCAAGCTGGGATGTCCTTTGATTTTGGCGGAGCCGTCGTAAACGCATCTAATTTTGATGTTGTTTCCGTTCTTTTTTATGACACCGTGGTGAGACAGGTAATGCGACGGTTTGTACATTTCGTCAGGTGGAACCTCTTCGATAATACGTCTCTGAAGTTGGTCCATAATGACGGCGTGATACCTTTCCATGTAAGACTCGTTTTGCTGGAGCATTTTCAGTTGAATGCACAGTCTGGAGAACGCGAGTGTGAAGTTGCTCGGTAACAGCTTCGGATCGACCTTGAATGGCAATTTCACGACGTATCTGCGTTCCTTTTGTCGTAGTAGATAGTGTTGTTGAAAAACTTCAGGCACTCTTCGTCATCACTTTGCATTGGGTCATCAAGGATGCCGATTGTCTCGAATTTCCAAAAATTGCTGACGAGCTCGGAAAGTTCATCATGATTGCTTGGGTTGGAAAGTCCCTTTTCAGAAGCAAACAACGAGATGTTCTCCGATTTCTTGATGTCGATTTGTTTATTGATGATGATGTCTCCTATTGTAGTATGTAGTAGACGATATCCGCTCGGCATTTTCTGGCAGAAGAAGTTATCCGAAAGCACTATGTCCCAGAAATAGTCGTTTCCTATGAGTAGTGATGGAGTACAAGATGTGTGAGTAAATCTTCGGTCGGGATCTGAAGACATATAGATGTGTTGAATGCTTCCGGTAAGAGTTGGCACGGATTTGACATCGAGGTATTTTGCTCCTTCCTCTGTGTAAACGCCGATATTATGGTCTTTGGATGGCAGCTCCAGTGAAGTTGTGCTTCCAAACGTAGATATGGTTATTTTCTCCGTGGTGAGAGTTGGTAGCTCAAGTAACGTCGCGAGTTCTGCAGTGATATAAGATTTGCTCGAACCGGAGTCTAAAAAGGCTGTGGCTGTCACTTCTCTGGACGGATCAGATGGGTTGAAAGGTCGCACGGTTGCACACATAAGGGTGGCTTGCAGTGAGTGTTGGGTAGAGTGATGCGTCGACACCGTGTGTAGTTGAGAACTATGGTGCTCGCTTGACGAGAGAGGATGATCTGATGGATCAGTGGAACTTGGGTTGTTATCAGGTCGACATGGAATTTGAGATTTGTTTTCACTCACAGCAGGAACATCCAATAGAGGCACTGTCATTCGCACTGTGTGGCTTTGTAGTCGAGGTGTTCGCCTGGTTCCTGATAATGGAGTCTTTTGCTTCGCTTTAGGTGGAGTCCCTCTGAGTTTTTTGCTAGTCATCTGGAAGCAAAGTGAAGAGTGATGTTTCTTCGAGCAAAACGTGCAGAGAAACCTCGAGGTACATTCCTTCGTCGAATGCCTGTTGGATAGGCAATTATAGCACAATTGTCGAATTTTTGCCTGTTCACTGCGTTGCTTTGGCGTTGGGAAGATGTTGCAGTCCGTGGAGGCGTGAAATGTCGAGTTGCAGAATTGACATCTCTTGATTTTCCCTTTTGTTGTAGATGGTCGAGGAAGCGGGCGCGAGTTGTTTGACTGATGTCCTTCTTTGGCGACAAAACTCTGGTGCAGGTTGCTCAGTTGTGGCGATTGTTTTGAGTGATACTCGATTTCGAAGAGCGTCGAATCTTTGCGGACGATGTCGGTCAGGAGATGCAAAAGTTCGCTCGGAGTGACATTGTGGCTGTTCCCCGTTTTGTCGTAAATTTGGCTTCGAACTCGAAGGGGTAACTTGTTGAGGAGGAGTGCTCCTAGAGCTGTTTCCTTTGAGTCGTCTTCGCCATTGCAAAACTGTCTCACTAGCGAGAACATCCTGTTGTACAGCACAGGAAGGTGATGACCTTCTGGATCGCACGGCGGCAGTTGCGATAGTTTGGTGTACAATATGTGTCTCATGGTGACCTTGTCGTCGAAGTGCGTACGAAGTATATCCATTGCGATATTGTAGTTCTCCGCGGTCATGGATAGGCCTTGTATTGACTGGAGAGCTCGTCCGCGCAGGCAAGATTTGAGCAGGCAGAATTTTGTCGTATTGTCGAGTTGTGGTTTGTTTCCCACTAAAGTAGCAAATCGCGCCGAAAATTCGGGATACTCCAGTAAGTTTCCATCGAATGTGGGTAATTCCATTTTTGTTAAAATGGAAGCGTCGACGAAGTTGAGTAAAGGGGAGTCCGGGGACAAATGCGTAGCTGTTGCTTGATGTAGTAGAGGCGATCGATGCTCGTGATGGATAGTTGCTCTCTTTGCTGACGTCAATTCGTTTCCGTAGTCCTCCAGAGAAGTAGCATCAGATAGATCGGAAGGCACGTGTATGTTCCTCTTGATGTATTCCTGATCAATGGCATTAAGCAGGATATCCAAGCCCTCTAACTGGAGGACTGATGTAGAGATTGATTCTCGGTAGTCACCATACTTTGATATATATTCGTTGAAAATTTCTTGCTCGCCTGTGTTGGAGTCCTGAAGTGTTGTCCACTCGTCGTTTAATTTTGTGATCTTTTGGTAGGACTTCAGAAGGTTTCTTCTCAGTGGAACGATCTCAGCTCGTAGTGATTCAAGTTCGTCGTTTTCTAGATGACGGAAGTCCAGTTGTTCGGTTTTTATGTGGTACTCCTTCAGTGTGGTTGTTACTGACAACCCATGACGTTGGAGCTGTTTCTTGAAGAATCCAATCTGACGCCGTATTTGAGAGCTGTCGTTGGATGACATTTCTTGATGAAGATCTTCAATGACGTAGTGGTGATTGAACGGCTTCGGGTGTGGTCGTCGGTCTCACAGGAGGTCAGGAGAGACGTTGACGTTGAGAGCGGTCGTCGATGGAGCAGGGACGCTGACGTTGGTGGGGACGTTGGCTGATGATTCGAAGTCGTTGAGACGCTGGCGTTGAGAGCGATCGTCGACGATGTAGAGATGATGACGTTGATGAGGATGGTGTGGAGTCGTTGACGTTGAAGAGCGATGGGCTGAGGTGTAGGATTCGCTTGTCTTGATGAGTGGTCGTCGACGTATAGTGTTCTTGATGGTACGGATAGTCTGACGTTGCTAGACGGTCGTCGACGGTGTGGAATCGTTGACGTTGATGAGCGATCGTTGCTGGTGTGGAGGCTCTGACGTTTGATGAAGGGTGGCTGACCGGGTGAGCTTGAGCAGTCTCGTTGAGCAGTGTTGACGTTGCAAGATCGCTGGCGTTGAGCGGGATCGTCGACGGTGTGAAGACGTTGATAGCGAGCGCTCGGCGACGGTGTGGAATCGTTGACGTTGACGAGCGATCGTTGCCGATGTAGAGGCTCTGACGTTGATGAAGGGTGGCCGACCGGATGAGATTGAGTAGGCTCGATGAGCGGCGTTGACGCTGCGAAGACGTTGGCTTAAAGCGAAATGGTCGACGGTGTGAAGACGATGATGTAGAGAGCGGTCGGCAACAGTGAGATGTTGACGATGAAGAGCTGTCGTCGGTAACTTTGATGCAGTGATCGTCGGCCGAGTAGCGTTCTTGGAGTTGCCGTGGTCGCCAGATGATTTGGACTTCACGTACGAGACGATAAGGCTTTATTGGGCATTGAAGCGAACCGTCCAACAGTCATTCTCAAAGGCTTTTATACGGCAATCTCTCAAAATATAAAGAGGCGGTCTCTTCTATTAGCTTTCTATTTCGAGAAGCGTCAAAGAACGATGAAGCGTTATTGTGGTCCAATTCAGAATATGATGACAATGTGTAATATATTTTGCCTGGTTTCCGAGAAAATTGAGAAGTGACTAAGGTCATAAGGCAGTTATATGAAGCTGACTAATGTTCATAGAGAAGTGAAATTTCTGAGCAAATCAATATCTTCTGTAGAATTACAGAAACATATCTCAGAGTATACTCCCCACCACTTTATCTACAAGTAGTAACATGTCCCACAAAGATATGCAAGATAAAGATATCAAGAAATAAGGAGATAAAGTTTGATATTACAGCTGATTTCTTGGTTGAACGGTCGAAGTCAAGTCCGGTGTAAGTTATGTTTTCGATTTCGCTTTTGTTGTTTACGATTTCCCAATGCAGTTGATATATGGGACAATTGTTAACATGATACAAATTCTGTGCAGCTGTATAGCGACTGCGAGCTCTTATATTGAGCTTACTATTTTTTTTAATGAGAGAACGAAAAGAACTTCATGTGAAACAACGCGAAATCCGGCTGCCTTTCTGAAACTAATCGTAAGATATTGGTAATACCGAAGCACCACCTCCATTTTCTGAGAGAAACTGAAAAACAAATAGACCATGCGCAGGCGGCGCGTTTCGGGTGACTTTGGTCACGCGTGCAAAATGTAGGCGATGACTTATCGCCTCTTCCCTTGAATCGTAATAGATTCGCTGTCAATCCACCCTCTGCATACGTATATGTATACCATTAGGCCGCGTTCATAGTTCGCGACTCCGGAGATAGGATAGTACGCGACAATGAAAAACATATGTATTGACGGGGAGATTAGGAGGATAGTAGTAGATAGGATAGTAGTAGAGTAGGAGATTGCGCTGACAAGATTAGATACGTATCGATTGAAATCGCTGGAGAGTAGTAGATTGCGATATTACGATAGTAGGATAGTAGTAGAGTAGGAGATTAGGATAGTGCGCTGAAGATTAGATATGTATTGATCGCTTGAAGTCGCCCAATCTACTACTCTCCAGCGATTTCAATCGATACGTATCCAATCTTGTCAGCGCAATCTCCTACTCTACTACTATCCTAATATCCTGTCGCCTACTATCCTAATCTCCCGAGTCGCGAACTATGAACGCGGCCTTATATTTTCGCGCGAAGGAAATGCTCCTAATAATGTGAAGACCTCTTGGAATAAGTGCAAGGTAGAGTAGTGATTCTGTGCTACATAGGGTTTTGCTTGAGGAAGTAAATAAAATGGAAAAGAATGCAGAGAGAAAAACAGAAAAAATGAAATTTTTTTCCGCCAGCGTAGTTTCGTTAAGCAGCTGGAGGCACAGCCCACCCAGAAGTCAGCTGAACGACCCCTTCCGACCAGTACGATAGGTTTCTAGAAGGCCATCACACATGTGGCTCTTTCACGCAGGAAAATCGCCCGACGACTGCATTAGCACCTAGCAAAGACCACTTCAATAGCTTCGATTTTTACGTCCCGCGACGCTGGTCTGACGTCCTATTATCCGTTGCACTCTATCGTCCAGGCAAGCCCTTATAGGAGTGATCACGACAAATCCCATGGAAACGCGTGGGAACGTTACCAGTGGATTAGCTAGATGACTTACCCAAGAAACGATAAGCGATGCTTCACTGACAGTGGTGCTATCAACGACGTGCAAGAAGACATCCAGAACGTTCATCACATACGTTTCGGAAGCGTAAGGGGTTGCAACGATTGCCTGGTTGAAGAAGATTGTAAAAGTTATAATTCTTGCTTGATCCTCATTTTCATCGTGCCATGGGTATCGAGTGCCTTGACTTGACCAGTCTTAGGTCGTCCGGGCAGTCTGAGAAAGGAGCGCATCGGGAAGCATATGCATCGCAAGAGGCAGGTACTTTTCTTCCAAAGAGCGAGGTGTGCGCTTTCACGACGAAAGGTGCGCTGGTTGCTGAGCAGGACTTCGAAAGCACTCCGCCCCAAAAGCGATCCGCCCACTAGTTTAGTTGGTGATTTGGAGAGCTGCGTTGCCAGCAGCGGCAACTGGAGCAACTCGATTGGAGCGTGGTTTGGCATGGTGTCACAAACGCGTTGCGGTGAACTCGCTCATCATTCTTCGTCCGTGTTCTGAGCTGTTACCTATTTATGAGTGAAGGCAACGACCAAAAAAAGGGGTCCCTTCTAGCGTATCACTGAGCACCATCCCGTCCTCTCTAGACCTTTCTAGAACCTGGCGTAATCGCTGCCTTCAAACGTAGACGAACGCTAGCTACAGTGCATACGGTGCTCTTCTCCGTTATGCAGTGCAAACGACACTGCTTTCGCCACGTCGCTGTACGCCAAAATTCGTGGTGCACTACCAGCCTTCCAAATAAATCATTTTTCTATTCTCGCCTGTTATCTTTTCCCCAGACGACCTGCCGCAACCCTTTACGGCTCGCCCTAACCTAAATTCAATATCTAGGCAGGGAAATGTAGACGAGACCGGAAAATCGGGTTTTGAACGGGTTGAATGCCATAAATTTTACCGCGTAGTCGCAGCGGGTAATTTCTGGCACTTACCCACGGCACTGGGCTTGCTGTGTCAGACGAATGGTCGAAAAACTTCATTGCAATTGGTTACAGTAGTCTGGTCAGTTGTTGCCCTTTTCCTAACGCATCGTTAATGCCGATCAATATCAAAATTAGTAAGTAACCCTGAAAACAGCCGATCAGTGCACATGTGGTTGTCCCGAAGCGGTCGCCATCAGAACTCTCCAACACGACGAATCGAGGTGGTTTGGGCCTTCTGGTTTTCCCGCCCACGTGTTCTACGGGTCCTCATTGGAGATCCTGCAGCTCCCACATAAATTACCTCCACACCGAGGGGTCTTGCGGGTTCCTAACTCAGGAGCGGTTCAATTGCAATAAATTGTAATAAGCAGCAACAACAGCAGCATATGATTAAGTTATTGCGCTTCAAATCAACACCTCCAAATCACTTGATGGGGTAATAGAATCGATAATGAAATTGTGGATGCCGAGTTGACAGGAAATGAGAAAAGAAACAAAGAAAACCCTCAGAAGCCCTCGAACGAAACTCCCTCTCATCCCATTGAAATAAGGTGTGACCTGACGAGCTCTTTGAACTAGCTTGCGCCGGCGGCACTCAATTGCTCTCCCAGCGAGATATGCGGCTTCTCATATGTACCGATACGAACAGGGACCGATAGAAAGAAAGGAGTGCACGAGGAGGAAGGAAATACGATATTTCAAAGATTCACGTGATTAAAAGCAATGAAAAAACCTTCAGCATTCTTCCAACGCGCTACAGTTTACACACCCTGCCAGGCGTGAATATGCTCGGCCAACGCTTGTGTTATCTCCGTCAAATCCGGCGCTAAGCAGTAACAATGGCATGCAGCTGATAGTGTGTCTCGGGTGTAGCGAGCACTAACTTGAATAGCGCTCCGAAAGAAAAGAAATGCGAGCCGGACCATGTTGCACTTCGGCGGTGGGGACGCGATTCAAAAAAATAACTAAGTATGGACACTTTTTAAGCTCAGGAGAAGCCCTGAAAAAATGCAAAAGTTCGCGCGCCCAAGAACTTGAACAAGTGGCATCATGCATATGAAGCAAGACAGATATCCACTATACCGTTGAGCTCTCTCGCACAGCTTCTTTGCGGCTCGTTGTACCCTAGAGTAGGATATAGAGGGCGCCACAGTGAGAAAGACATCGTAGCTTCTTCCAGGAAATCGTTCCACCCGCAGATATCGAAACCAGATTCAGTTTAGCGGGGCACGACCCTGGCGCTCTTGTGGGTGACATCTGTGACTGTCCTCCAGCGGTCTATCTTATAGACCGAAGAAAATCGCTCAAAACACACACAACAAACACGACTTCTGCTTGGGCTGTGTCTTTGAGTAGCCTCGGCTGGAGGCGTAGCCAGAGGTAGAGCTTGTCGGTGCACGCGCCACGATCGCGACCATGGTGCGACAGACAGACCGTGGGGTGACCCGAAACTGTCGCCGCGACGCGCGACAGCAGGGAGCACCCGCTTTGTCGGCGGTAATTGGGCAATTATTTCGTGAAAATTTCATTCCAGACGACTGGTTCAGAGGATACGATACATAAATCAGTGATCAAATTAGGCGTCGTTTTCAACGGTCTGCAAGGTCAGTGATTCAAGGCTGCTACTTGCAAGAAATTTAGGATAGGTTAGCAGATAAATAGATTTTTATGGTTTCAGATGGTCCTGGTATCCTATTTGTGCTTATTTGCATTGCTCTCGAAGGCGAGTGCGTTCCGCTCCAAGACGAGCAACTCTTCCACTTATGTGTCACTCAAATTATTTGTCGACACTGATATGACATGCATGTATCAACTTTTGAAGAAGAATATGTCACTGTTTCTAGTTGCTACGGTGAGCTCCAGATTACAAATTGGACATAATACTATTCGATTAGAAGAGTACTTGTCTAAAAAAAATTACATTTGAATACATCATTGAAAAACATGCATCATTAGATCTACTAGTTTGATTTCGCATCCGATGAAGACCGGAACCGTAACTCACTATGAACGATGTAACGTACCATCATTCCAATTCGACGTGCCCTCTTGTCGACTTCCCTGCGCTCAGCACGATGACAGAATGGATGTCACGGAGCCTATCTTCTGTACCGAGCGATTGCGCTGCCCAAAAGTGGAATATCCGAGTTGAAGGAAGGAACTTAAGGGACCGGGTCAACCACAGCGCTTGCAACTTTCCAAAAATTTTGCCACCCGCTTAGGAGGCCTCGAAATAACATATACGGTGAAGCAGGGTCAACGTTGGACTGACATCAAAAACTCTACGGCTCTCCACCTATTAGAGATTACTAGTCTTCATATAACCTCTCCCTTCCTCCACACTTGCCGCGTACTGTACACTTACTATTAGTGTGTATGCCAG